TAAAACTATGTTTCCCTTTTAGCCGCAGAGCCACACATTGCTAAGAGGAAGTCTACTTTGCCTCCAGCGTGCAACAAAGTCACAAACGATGCTGAAGTTTGTGTTTGCTTGTTTGGAATTTTGCTTTCCTTTGGTTGTTTTCACAGTGGAAGTGTGAAATTCTGGCAGCTCCCGTGGTAAAATACTCCCAATTTCTTACAACCTTTAATTCTAAAAGTCTCCAAAGGATTTGAAATTTTCAACATTCAGTTGAGTCTGTTCCTTTCCTGTTAATCCATGTTCATGGGTGGGGCATCCACAAGAAATGTAGCCGGCCTTACCGTCAACTTATATTTACCACATCAAGACTCTCTCTGCTCCCCACTTGCATGTTTTTGTTTTGTTCAACTGTACAAAGAAGAGTGTGGCTTATCTATGAAATGGCTGAAACCTTGCTTCTATTATTAAATAAACAATGCGCCAAATTACTTTTTTTTTTCCAAACAATCTCAGTAGCATCCGCTCGTGATAGCAACCTGAATGCTCCAGAGTGAATAGGACCGAAACCCACAATGAGTCCCGTGGGCTATGACAGCAAAGAGAAAAGAAGAGAACATGAACGCGCCCTGCCCCCCGCGGGGCCCTTTTGTGCTGTTCCTGCAAACGCAGCAGACCTCCTGCTATATAGACCCGCGCGCCCAGCCCTACACACCCAACAGCACCATCCCATCCGAACCGCCAACACCAGCCATGGGGAAGGTGAGCCCCGGGCACCCAGGGCCTGGGGGAGGGAGCTGCCCTCGGGTCCAGGCCCCATCAGGCCTCTCCCTGAGCCTTGCCTTCCCTCACAGATCACCTTCTATGAGGACCGCGGCTTCCAGGGCCGCCACTATGAGTGCAGCAGCGACCACTCCAACCTGCAGCCCTACTTCAGCCGCTGCAACTCTGTGCGCGTGGACAGTGGCTGCTGGATGCTCTATGAGCAGCCCAACTTCGGAGGCTGCCAGTACTTCCTGAGGCGTGGGGACTACCCTGACTACCAGCAGTGGATGGGGTTCAGCGACTCCATCCGCTCCTGCCGCCTCATCCCCCACGTGAGT